TTCCGGAAACAATGTAATTATATTTATATTTGATATAACCTTTCCGGAAAGATTATAACACCTATAAAAAATAATATGCAAATCAGAATTTTATAATCCGGAAACAATAAAAATATTAACTTTCCGGAAACATCAATTGTATATTAATAAAGCCTTTCCGGAAAAATATACTTACTCTCATGTAAATTTTTATTGCTGACTTGAGCTCTTACTCGATTAGCTAACATTCCAGTAATCGACTCTTTTCTAAATTTAAAAATTAATTTCTGAAAATTTTAAAAATTAATTTATACCCTATTTCTGGCATAACTGTAGAACTACTAATGCTATAACTACTAGTGCCTGGACGGTTTGATCTGTCCATTTGTGGTTTTCGAGTTGTGGGCCTTTCCCTTTGCATAGGGATCTGATCGGGCATTTTTTCTTTGTTTAGTTCTTCCTTAAAAATAATTTATATGTATATCCTTCATCTCCCTTCTCAATTTTACTCACCTTCTCTTTTCTTGCTTTACTCCTTTCTTCCTTCTCTTCTTTTTCTTCTTCCTCCTCCTCCTCTTCCTCTACTTCTTCCCTTCTTCTTCCTCCCTTCCCTCTATTCTTCCCATTCTTTTCCTCCTTAATTTTCCCCTTCCTCCTCCCCCCTTTCGGCCTTTCCTCCTCCTCTTCTTCCTCTTCAGAAAATTCATCATTCTCTTCCTTTTCTTCTTCCTCCTCTTCATTCTCTTCATTTATTGCTTCTTCTTCTTTGTCTTCATTTCCATATATTTTCCCATTTTCGTCTTGTAATTTTACCATTTTTTAAATAAAAACTGAAAAAAGGAGGGGGGATTGAAAAGAAATAAAAAGATTCAAAAAGAAAAAAGAGAAAATTAGCTTATTTATGAAAACAAAAGAAGAAAAGCTTAAAGAATAAAATTAGCCTATAAATAGGCTACAAATACAAATATTAATTTTATTTTCGTAATTATTAACATCATGGGGGGATTAAAATTTAGAATATACGTAAGAAGAATGTTATTGTCAAGTAGAAAACAAAATCAGAATTCCCTTTCCTGAAGAAAAATATAAATTTATTTAAAACTTTCCGGAAACAAATATAAGAAAACTACAAATGAACATACAAAATCAGAATTTTCCGAACTTTCCGGAAAATATAAAATTAAAAAAATAGAAAATCAGGAAAATAAGAATTTGTGAACTTTACGGAAAATGAATAGAAAACTTTATCATAAAATACATAAACATAAAACTTAACCGGAAAACTATTTATAATTTTATAAACTTTCCGGAAAACCTCCAATAAACTTTCCTCACATATACAGTAATAGGTAAAATTGGAATTTTTTGACTCCTTCTAAAGAACATTTTCATACAAAAGGACTTGAGATTATTTTTCAAGGCTTTGAGAGTTCTCCTTGTTTTTCTCAATTTTAGTTAGGACTTTGTGAATTCCTTCCGACGCCGCGGGGCATATTTTTATATGGACAAACAAGCAAAGTAAAAAATAAAAAAAATATTTATATATTTGGGACCGTCTGGTTATGTAAAAGACGTGAGTAAAGAGAGTCTCTATATGAATGCCCCCTCCAATGCTTTTTTACATTTTTTGAGAAGCTTTAGCTAAAAATCGATGTATGAGATGCCAACATGACAAAGAGTAAGTGTGGGGAAATTTTTAAAATGAAAAAAAGAAAATTTAAATTTTTAAAGGAAGGTGAGAAGGGAAGAAAAAAGAAGAGGGGGGGGGGGGGGGGGAATTTTTAGAAATTGATTTTTAAAAATTAGAAAACTGGAAAAAAAATAAATTTTGAAAAACTTTCTAGTAATATTTATGTACATATTTGTTTAATATTTTTGTATATTTTCCGGAAAGTTTATACAAATATTTAAATTTATACAAATATCTAATAAGTTTTACAAATATTAAGTTTATACAAATATCTAATATTATTTGAATGTTTGCCGGAATGTATTTTATAATTCTGGTATTGTATTTTCCGGAAAATACAATATTCCGAAAATACAATTTATATTTACAATACATTTTATATTTTCCGGAAAAGTATGTAGTATAATTTCAATATTATGTAGTATGCTTTCCGGAAATTTGTAAAATTTAAAAAATTCTGACATTATTTGTTGCTTCAGAAAAGCTTAAAATTCTGCTTTTGTAAGTAACTTATAAATATTTTGGTAAAAACAAAAATAATAAATTCAATAAAAATCGATTTACAAATCCCATATAAGCTGTTTTGTGTGTTTTTTGCTTCTTTTGTTAGCATGCCGCAAGAAAAGGAATGAAGAAATTTGTTTGTCAGTTAAAATGCCAATAAAACGGTAAAAAGGGGGATTTGTAAAAAGAGCGAGTGCCTCTCTCAATAAAAAATTCCAATATTTGCTAACAGGCCAATTTATCCATTTTTCAGGGATTTTGCTTTTAGTGTCAAAAAGAAAAACGTCAAAGAAATGAAAATATATTATGGAAAAAATGGGCGGAAGTTAAGGGGGAAATAAAAAACACAGGTAAAGTCAGAGTTTCCGGAAAACACACAAACATCCTTTTAATTCAGAATTTATGGGAATTTAAAAAACTTTCCGGAAAGAATGTACAAATAACAAAAAAAGTATTAAAACAAAAAAATAGAAATTATTAAATATTAAAATAAAAAAAATATTTTAAATAAATACAAATTTGGTAAAATAAAATGACATTAAAATAATTATTGACATCCTTTATCTCCATTATTTTATATATCTGTCCTCCCTACTCCCAAAAATAGCTAAAATAATAAATGGGTATAATATTTTCGAAAAGCGGACAAAAATAGAAAAAATACATATTTTTAAATTATATATTTGTAATTTACAAATTAGTACAATACTCGATAATATTAGACCATTCTTAAAGGAGTTGTCGGTGCCACAGGGAAAGTTATTAAAGTTTTAAAAGAACTGTTGTAGCTTCTTGATCTTCCGAAAATCATAATAAATTTTTGTCTGCGGCATGAAAATGAATCTTATATCCTTCGTCAGTTAAATTTTATAAAACATTCCAAATTTAAAAATATACTCCTATGGCACTAAAATAATTTTATTTTTCGCGTCTCGACAAAAAAATTACCTCATTAAATTCTCGATAACGGTTTTCCGGAATTCTCGGTTCTCGAAGAAGTTATAAACAAAACTATCGAATTGACAAGAAAATTTGTATAGAAAAATGCTCACTTTTTTATTTTTTAAATTTTGTTTTCGAGTTATTATTAGAGTTCGAACCCGGGCCGGGCCCGGACCGGTTTTTTCCGGGCCCGGTGGCCCGGAACCGGGTATTTTTGAGAAAATCCGGTTTTTCCGGGCTAACCGGTTTTTCCGGTTTTTTTTTTTTTTTTTTTTCTTTATCGAACACAAATAAATATAATGTGAAACAATAAAATAAAACTCCTGGATCCACAGGGATCACTTATGGAGAGGTAACGTACAAAAAAATCAAATACAATATGACGGTTTTTTTAAATGTTAAGTTAAAAAAAAATAAATAAATAATGGACTCCACAGAAAAAAAACAAATTAAATGTATAAAATTAGATGTTATAAAAAATATATAGGTATATTTAGGTGTAAAAGAATATTTGTATTAAAAATAATTTTATTTAAATGTTAAGTAAATTTGTTTAGGTAAGAAAGTGAACATTTGGGTTAGGATTTTATGTTAATACACTCCATTAATTCATACTGATAAATTATAATCTTCTGTAGTTAATATTTTGTCTAAAAATTTTTTAAATTGTGGTATAGTATTGATTTTCTCAATTTCTTTTTTTGGAAGTTTATTCCACCTATCTATGACTCTATGTGAAAAGAAATGATTATTCTTAGCTTGTTTCTTAAATATTTGATATCTGTGCAAGCGCGGATTATTTCTATTAGGTTTTGAGAATATTTGTTCTGGATTTATTTTATAGCACCCCTTTATTATTTTGAAGGTTGTCATAAGATCTGTTCTTATACGACGAATATTAGTTGGAGGGAGTTTGCATCTTTTTAGTCTTTCGTTATAGCTTATTTTCTGGTATTTGTATTTATATCTTAAAACTTTCCTTGTAAAGCTTCTTTGAGGTCTCTCTAATTGCTTATTTAGATATTCTAGTTTTGGGCTAAAATTTTCAGTGGAATATTCCATAATTGGTCTTACGTATGTCTTGAATGCCTTAACATATGTGTCTATTGGTAATGTTTTTGGTAATATTCTTAGGATATTATTTGCCCTTATAAATGAGGATTTAGTAATTTTTGCTATATGTTGATCAAATTTAAGTTTGTTATCTATATATATACCTAAGTCTCTTATGTTATTAACCTCTTCGATTTTTTCGCCATTTATCTCATAGTTAAACTTAATTTTGTTGCATATTTTTAAAACTTTAACTTTTGTGATAGAGAATTTTAGCCTATTATTTATTGCCCATTTACTAGCATTATTTATAGCTTCTTGTAGTTCTATACAATCTTTTTCGGTTTTAATTTCTGAGTAAAGCTTAAAATCATCTGCATATAATTTTACTTTTATGTTTGTCGGAATATGTTTGGGTAGATCGTTTATATATATCAGGAACAGCAATGGTCCTAACACAGTTCCTTGGGGGACACCTGTCTTCGGAAAAAATGGTTCGGAGTAATTCTCACCTATTTTTACAGTATGAGATCGATTAGATAGAAAATTTGCTATCCAAGCAATTGTTACCCTATCTATTTTAATTTCATGTAATTTCCTAATAAGTATTTCGTGATCTACTTTATCAAAAGCTTTTTCAAAATCAAAATATATGATGTCCGTACCTATTTTCTTATCAAGAGAGTTGTACCAGTCTTGCATAGATGATAGAATTTGGAGAGTGCACGAGCTCTTAGGTAAAAATCCGAATTGCTCTTCGGCAATTAATTTATTTTTGTTAAGGTGTTCTAATATGTTATTCGCTACGAGGCGCTCAAAAACTCTACAGATTGGAGATGTTAGAGCAATTGGTCTGTAATTCTTTGGGTCATTTAATGACCCCTTTTTTTTAAATATAGGTAGAATATGTGCAGTTCTCCATAATTCAGGGACAATTCCTGTCTTGAATGTATTGTTATATAAAATTGATAAGGGAAGGGCTAATGGGGTAGAACATTTTTTTAAGAAATATTGATTGCTACTCTCAGGGCTATGAGATAATTTATTGGGGAGCTTCTTAAGCAATTTTTCTATTATATATGGTTCGAAAATAATTTCTTCCCGGTATTCATCCCTATAATCGGCTTCAAGGTTTGCTTGCTTATTGTTTATATCTCCATTAACTATTTCTTCAAAAATAGTTCTAAATATATTAACTTTCTCTGTGTCAGATATTATTGGGTCACTTTCCTCAGATTGCTTAAGTATTGGTATGCCAGAGAAGTTATATCGATTTTTTTTCATTAATTTATGAATTTCCCCTATATGCCCAGATCCTATCCTTTTTGACAGATAATTGTTTTTATATTTTTCTATTTGTAATTTACATTTAATTTCAAGACTTTTATATTCTTCCTTACTGATCTCACCTAATTTTAGCTTTTTCCAGGAAACAGCCTTTTGTTTGATTGTTTCTCGAATTTCTTTAGGATATTTCATGGGTATTTTTTTGCCAAATTTTTTAGATGGGATGAATTTTTGGATTGCTTGGCTTATTATAGAATTTAGTATTTCAGCCATTTCTGAGGGATTTTTGTCATTAAATAGATTGAACCAGTCATATTGAGCTAAATACCAATTGATAATCTTATATTTTCCCTTCTTAAATAATACAACTTTTCTTTTATTTTCAGATGTTATTTTATCGATTGGAAAAGCTACTTCAAATACTATCGGTTTGTGGTCACTCAGAACTAAGTCCTCTATAATATTATATTTTTCGATTAATTGTTTATTTTGGAGAATTAAATCTAGTGTATGGGAATTGTTACACATTGTTGACTCCTTTATAACCTGATTTAAATTTAGTTTATTTATTGTATTATAAAAATATAAGCTTTGTTTATCTTTCGGAAGTGCAAACTCCTGCCAATTTATTTTTGGGAAGTTGAAATCCCCTAATATAACATTTGAAAGTTCATCTTTGTACTTTTTCTTTATAATTTCCCAAAATTTTTTATCGTCTGACAATTTTGTATTTGGTGGTCTATATATTAGATGGAATCGAATCCTTTTAAATTCAGAGTATATATCGAGGGTAAGAAGCTCATGACTAAATTCGGAGATTGAAAGAGATGGAATATATATAATTTTTAGTTCCTTTTTATAAACTACACCTACGCCGCCTCCTCATGATTTTGCTCTATCTACTCTTAATAAATTATAATTTTCAGAAATTGTGAGGGATTCGGAAGATATTTTATCGGTTAGCCATGTTTCGGATATAAACGCTACATGAATATTGTTTTTATTTAAATAATTTTCCAATTCAACTAATTTATATGCAACTTTTTCGGAATTAATGGAGCGTATATTTAAAAGTAAGCAATTTAAATTTTTTATTTTTTTGTTATTTTCTTGAGTATTTTTCTGTGAGGTCCCTAAATCCTAGTCCAAGTTCACTTGCTTTTTATAAAAAATTTTAAGATTACGGTAACAAGCTGTGCCATTTCCATGTTTTGTATTGATTTCTTTAACCTGTTGTTTGAGGTAGTTTTGTAGTTGTAGTTCAGGTGGGGTTAAGTCCCTTCTTGCGAAAGGACTATGCCCACCTAAGGTAGGTTTGTGTATTGTTCTATATTGATTAATAAATGAATGTGCGGCAGCTGGAGTCGAAAATTTAACTTTGATGATTCGATGATAATTGTTTTGCTTCTTGATCCCGTGTCGTTTAATTTCGAAATTTTTTGCTTCTTTAAAGTTTTTGTTGTTTATTACTATTTGAACATTTCTTTCTATGTTCTTTAAGTCTTCTTCCTCATTTTCCAATTCTGGAAATCTTTCAATGACTGCGTAAAAACTCTTCTTTTTATAAAGTTCTTTCAAATTTTCATCAAATACGGGCTGTTGAAGCTGTTCAATTGTCATTGCAGCTTGTTTAATTTTTGGTGGCATTAAGTTTGGGGGGCAACCCCATCGAGAAGTTTTTTGTTGTTGGGGCTCGGATTGAGGAAGATTAATGTTTAGTTGTTGCTGAATTTGTTGAAATAATGTTTTTATAGTTGTTTCTATTATTGGTGTGAGAAGTTGGACAACATTACAGGAAATTTGTTCAAGTTGTGTTTGTGTTAAGATCGGTGTTTGATCAATCTCACTGTCTGTATTAATCGATGTGCAGGGTCTTTTTGCGTTTCCCATGAAGATTATTTTTAAAAAATTTTTATGGAGGAATGAAAGAAAATTGGAGGAATGAAAGAAAATTGGAGGAATGGAGGGTGCGATTTTGTGTAAAAAAACCGGGTCCCGGGCCCGGTAATTTTTTGCCGGGCCCGGAGTGGGAGTTTTGGAATGTAAATTTGTCTGAAAATGGAAGTTTTGGCATAAGGATCTCCCAAAATTCTCAAAATTTTCGCCTGCGGCGCTGGAAAAGTAAGAACTCTAGTGGGTTGCAGTGCAGTTACAGTTCCGGAACTAATTAGTTCTAGTTCCAGTTCCGGAACTTATTAGTTCTAGTTCCTGTTCCGGAACTAAAACTACGGAACTAACGATTATGTGGAACTAGTTTGGAACTAGAACTACGAAACTAGTAAATGCCTGGAACTAGCTTGGAACTGGAACTACGGAACTAGTAAATGTCTGGAACTAGCTTTGGAACTAGTTCTGGAACTAGTTCTTGGGGGTATATTTTTGACAAAATTTCCTCGAAAATTACCTGCAGCGCGCTGAGTATGGAAGAAATCTGTCTGCTTGAGCTCCAAAATTCTAAAAATTTTCGCCTGTGGTGCAGAAAAAGTGAATTATTTCGGCCTAAGACCTTAGAAATTCTCAATATTTTCGCCTGCGGCGCTGGATAAGGAAAAATATGGGGATACACTGTGTTACTTCTAAATCCACTTAATCACACGGTAACCCTCCACTGCCCTTTTATCCCTTCATATCGTTCCTAATCCCGTTATACTTCTAGACATCGAGGTTTCAACTGAAGTTACTTCTTTACATTTATATCACAATAATTCCCCCTATATCCTTTTCATTCTCCAAAATCTCACGTTATATCGTGTTAACCAACTAAATCCATTTGCCTTACACTAATAAAGATATATGTAGACGGGATATCACGGGTATCATTGGGTATGTAAATTTTTTATGTTTTTAATAAATTTAGAAAAAACCGGGTCCGGGCCCGGGTATGAAAAAATCCGGTTTTTCCGGGCTAACCGGTTTTTCCGGTTTTATCCGGAAAAACCGGTCCGGGTGCGATTTTGAGAAAAAAAACCGGGTCCCGGGCCCGGCATTTTGAAAAGTTCGAACTCTAGTTATTATAATAGTTTTCCCATGAGTTGATCAAAACATGTCGAGAATAGATGAGAAAAACCAAAATTCTCACTATCCACCAAAAACCAACCTCATAAATATTTAATTACTATAAACATTTCCCCCTTTCTTTTTATAAGCTTCACATACTAACTCTTCTAATATTTACACAATCCCTTATTTGTTGACTAATCAAAAACAACGTTGTAAGTAAAGCGTGCAATAAACAGCTTTTATATTTTTCTGTTTTCAAAATGTCAACTTTAAAAATAATGTCACCGGGAAGACATTTCGAGTTTTGCTTGAATTAGATATTTAGAAAGTTGACATTTTGAAATTCTAGTTTCATACTTTAATGGCAGCTGGTTTTTAGAGTCACTGCCTCCATTCATTAACTTTAGTTTTTCACTCTAACCTCAACTTTCCCTTCTATTTATCTTTTCTCTTATTTTTCCCATTATCTCTAGTTTCTGCATAGCGGAACATTTATTTATTTTCTATACAAGACAACAATTTTTATTTTATTTTTCTGGCGTGACGCTCGACTCATTCCTTTTAGTTTTGCTTCGATTCGACCCTACCACACGCGTCAGCATTATAATTATTATAGTAATAGTATCACACACAAACATTAACACCCCAAGTATTTGGACTTTTTTTGGTGGAAGTTTCCTTTACACGTTTTTAACTGTTAAAACTTGCAAAAAATGCCGTAACTTGATAATTCTACAACTTTTGAACGGATAAGTCTTTTTCTGTGAATTATATACCATTGGATAGAGAAGAATCTTGGCTACAAAATGTGTATAATGTTACAATTTTTTGGTTAAAAAATAAAATAGTTGAGGTCAAAAAACTCAAAAAATCATCAAAATTTCCCCAAAAACATTAGTTTTTTGGTCTCAACTTTTTCTCTTTTTAATCAAAAAAACTTCTTTTAAACTCCATTTTATAGCCTTATCCATGCTCTATCAAAAAGTTTTTTGAAATTTAAACATTCGATCAAATGTTAGTTGAGTAAACGTTCAGTTACTCAATTGACCCCTCATTTTATTAAATGATTTTTAATTAATTTTTTTTTTAATTTTCAGACTTGTCAAACAAAAAAATCCCAAAATCTTTAAAAAAACAAATAAAAACACAAATTGGCATTTCGGGTTTATTAATTCAAAACAACAAAAACAAACAGCATTTGAAGTAATTGGTGTAAGGCAGTATTTTTTAAGTAGTTTATTTACTTTATATTCGCCAATTAAGGCAGAATTCAACGAAACGTTTTTGATATTAAAGAGCAACGAGGAAGAACTATAAAATTGAAAAAATGGCTACAATGGTAATTCGATTTTTTTAAATTTTTAGGTGGGCTTTGGGTTGGGGGTTTTCTTGTCTTAGACTCCATCATCATCTGATTAGATAGACGGCTGACAGGGGGAACGGTGTCTTTCCGCTTTTGGTTATCCGCTTAATTGTGTCCACAATTATCGGATTTTGTTTATAAAATCGAATGGTGTCTGGTTCTTCAGAGGTTGATAGATTCAGAACCTCGGTCCCACTTTGAGACATTTGGTCCCACCTCGGATATTTGGTCCACATTTATCATTTTTTAAATTTAGTCTTGGTTCACTCAAACAATAAACTTTTTTACTATTTGTATTTTTCCTAAAACATTCCCTTACTTTTAGAACAACAACCAAACCCAACAACAACGTTCATTCGGAGGAAATGGTGCTGCATTCAACAGAGGAAATAATGGAGGAGGTTCCCGCAACGGTCCAAGTCCAAATAGTTCTTATCGAAAAAATAACCGAATTGATGATCAACAACAACAAATGACTACAAACAACGCGACATTTGGTCCCTACAACAATTCCAATAATCAACAGCAACATTCGGCCGCTTCAACTAGTGGAGGTCCTTCATCTCGTCCTTATCAATCACAGCAACAAAACAATAACGGCCATCATCAACGTCCACCGCCATCATTTCGTTCAGTCAGTAGAAGTGAAGGAGGGGGTGGAGGTCAACAGCAACAACAACGTGGAAGAGTACAGACAGATGTTTGGAGAAAAGGAGGAGGAAATTCTTCAAATTTTGGTGGTAAT